CAAAGAACAAATTTTCGTTGTTTATGCTTGGATTGAACGAAGAGTGGGATACAGGAATGCAAAAGGACGAAGAATCTGATGGGAACCTGTTGAAGATGGTGTGCTTGTTGTCCATCTACGACAATAAAGTGAAAGATCATCCAATTACTATGGCAGTTTTCAACATCCAAGAGGCACTTATGTGGAAAGGAAAAAATAAGGGTCTGACAAGTGTAAAATTCCAGAAAGCAAGGTGGCTACCGGTGGATCTGAGAAAATAAAGTGGGTGGTAATGGATTCAGCCAATGGACACGCACTTAATAGAAAGGGAGAGTTTGGGAAATTTTTAGAAGAGGAGCATCAGAACAGTGCAGGTTGTGACCAAGTCAATAAAAGAAAATTTGTTATCTTGAAGAAACCAAGAGAAGTGTTGACCAAATTGCAAGAAAATACGTCAGAGAGGACAACCACGAGCTCCAAAGCGGATGAACATGTTGATTTGGACATGAGGAAACCAGAAAAAACAGTATAAATACCAATTTTGGAGAAGTTTAAGATTTCGAGGCAAAAGACTTGACGCATTGGTGTTCTGAATGGGTGGATCGTGAAGGCTGAAAGTGTTCAAGCGTCGGCATCTGATGCAATTTTGGAAAGAAACAATCCAAGAGAAGTTTGTTGCATTTGGGTATAAAGATCATTGAGCCATAGAGGAGTTGGATGAAAGAAGAACAAATCAATTTCTTTATTTTTTTTCTTTCCACCTTGAGGACAAGGTGGATGTTTGGGGGCCGGGCATTGTTACACATATAGATAATAGTGGGCCGGTCAATAAGTCAATTGTGGGGCTTTGATCAATTAGTCAATAAATGAGGTTAGTCAGTTGTTAGAAGAAGTATAAATAGAAGGAAGGTGGTATCGATTAGGTATGAATTTTGTAATCAATTGGATGCAACCCTTGGGAGAGTTCTTGGCCTCTAAAGCCAGAGGCATTCGGTTATGAGTGAATAATCAGATCTTACCATAGTTTCCTTGATAACCGTTAGTAGTTTGTAACACATTCTAGTGGTTGGATACTCTCCATAGAGGCTCTCGTCAATTACAAAATACAAGCACATGCTTAATCTCTTCCTTGCTCATTCTATTTATACTACTCCTAACAGCACTTATCTCATGTATTGAATAATTGACCAGCCCCCACAGTTACCCGTACTATCTATATGCGTAACAATACCTGCCTGCCAAACCTCCACCTTGTCCTCTAGTTGGAAAAAGTTAAAGCATCCAAAAAACTGAGTTTGGAATATGTCCTCTTATCAAATTAAATATGCTCCTTCTGCATAGAAGGTTTTCCTTCCAGAAGCTTGAGATGGAACATAAAAATAGTGAAGCTAGAAACCCTATTATGTGCACAATGCTTGCCTAGGTATAGAGGAACCAAACTGTGAAGAAGCTTGAGGCAGTGGAGTACTGTTGATGCTTTTAGGGCTTGAGAGAGAGTTAAAGTCAGTTATTGGGCTCAAGAGAGTGACATAAATGTGGGACTCATTGGAGCATTTAAAGTCCAATAGGATAAACAAACCCTTGGTTTTTCTTTGAACATACTTCCAGTCATTCCTAAAAATAGACAACGCCGATGATGAACCATGGAAGACTAGCAACAAAGGTGGTTGCAACGGCAGCAATGGTAACGGCAGCAGCGGTAGTGGCAACGGCAATGGCCTTAACGATGGTTGTTGCCTGACTAACAACTTCCCAGTTGTAACTACTTGTAATCTCCAACGAATCCTTGTTTCTCAACTTTCTTTATCGACTATCAGTTCAGCCTAGGAATGATTGTTGCCCTATTTTGTACACAAGTTCAGCATAGACAAAATCTAGAATTTGTGCTCAAATAGCATGCCATGCACAACAAACATGGCTAAAATCGAGAGTACTTTGAAGATGGGAGTTCAATGGATCAGATAATATAATCCAAGGTTTACTTTGTCGTCATATTTTTGTTGGTATATATCATTATAATTTGGATATAGGTCAGGGTTTCCCTAACTAATTAGGAACCCTGTTTGTCAGCCACACCATATAATTGAAGGGTAACCCTTTCAACTTCTAGAAGTCCAAACAGACCCAGTAAATTATTTTTAGTTCCGACTTCTAAAATCTATAAATAGACCTCATAGTAAACTTGATAATTAAGATATGTAAAGTCCATATACTAAATTTTATATAAATGAATTCTACAATTTTATTTCTTTTCGTAAGCACCATGATGACAAATGCCTAGGTGGGACACCTTCTCACATTGCTTAAACACCTTGAAAACATGGACGAAAATCATCATCTATAAAGCAATAAAGATTATCAAGTATAGGCTTTCTTTCTCATCTTCCACTACTTTTTTAGTCAACCATTATGTTGATCCCAGATCTCTCAATAACACTAATAATCGAGTTAAGAATAACCAAATTATAGTGTTTTAATGAACAAAGTGATGAACACTCAAGAATAAATTATGAACATTAAAGAACAATCTTGAGTGTCAAAGGTTTCACTTTATTAATAAGAAAAACGTAAAAGCGACATTTAATACAATAGGCCTAATCACCTATTTATA